TCACAACTAAACTCATCTACTCACTAGTCAACAACTAAACTCATCTACTCACTAGTCAACAACTAAACTCATCTACTCACTAGTCAACAGCTAAAGTCATCTACTCACTAGTCAACAGCTAAAGTCATCTACTCACTAGTCAACAGCTAAACTCATCTACTCACTAGTCAACAGCTAAACTCATCTACTCACTAGTCAATAAACTCATCTACTCACTAGTCAACAACTAAACTCATCTACTCACTAGTCAACAGCTAAACTCATCTACTCACTAGTCAACAGCTAAACTCATCTACTCACTAGTCAACATCTGAACTCATCTACTCACTAGTCAACAACTAAACTCATCTACTCACTAGTCAACAGCTAAACTCATCTACTCACTAGTCAACAACTAAACTCATCTACTCACTAGTCAACAGCTAAACTCATCTACTCACTAGTCAACAGCTAAACTCATCTACTCACTAGTCAATAAACTCATCCACTCACTAGTCAACAGCTAAACTCATCTACTCACTAGTCAATAAACTCATCTACTCACTAATCAACAGCTAAACTCATCTACTCACTAGTCAACAGCTAAACTCATCCACTCACTAGTCAACAGATAAACTCATCTACTCACTAGTCAACAGATAAACTCATCTACTCACTAGTCAACAGCTAAACTCATCTACTCACTAGTCAACAGATAAACTCATCTACTCACTAGTCAACAGCTAAACTCATCTACTCACTAGTCAACAGCTAAACTCATCTACTCACTAGTCAACAGCTATACTCATCTACTCACTAGTCAGCAGCTAAACTCATCTACTCACTAGTCAACAGCTAAACTCATCTACTCACTAGTCAACAGCTAAACTCATCTATTCACTAGTCAACAACTAAACTCATCTACTCACTAGTCAACAGCTAAACTCATCTACTCACTAGTCAACAGCTAAACTCATCTACTCACTAGTCGACAGCTAAACTCATCTACTTACTAGTCGACAGCTAAACTCATCTACTCACTAGTCGACAGCTAAACTCATCTACTCACTAGTCAACAGCTAAACTCATCTACTCACTAGTCAACAACTAAACTCATCTACTCACTAGTCAACAACTAAACTCATCTACCCACTAGTCAACAGCTAAACTCATCTACTCACAAGTCAACAACTAAACTCATCTACTCACTAGTCAACCGCTAAACTCATCTACTCACTAGTCAACAGCTAAACTCATCTACTCACTAGTCAACAGCTAAACTCATCTACTCACTAGTCAACAGCTAAACTCATCTACTCACTAGTCAACAGCTAAACTCGTCTACTCACTAGTCAACAGCTAAACTCATCTACTTACTAGTCAACAACTAAACTCATCTACTCACTAGTCAACAGCTAAACTCATCTACTCACTAGTCAACAACTAAACTCATCTACTCACTAGTCAACAGCTATACTCATCTACTCACTAGTCAGCAGCTAAACTCATCTACTCACGACAACTAAACTCATCTACTCACTAGTCAACAGCTAAACTCATCTACTCACTAGTCAACAGCTAAACTCATCTACTCACTAGTCAACAGCTAAACTCATCTACTCACTAGTCAACAACTAAACTCATCCACTCACTAGTCAACAGCTAAACTCATCTACTCACTAGTCAACAACGAAACTCATCTACTCACTAGTCAACAGCTAAACTCATCTACTCACTAGTCAACAACTAAACTCATATACTCACTAGTCAACACCTAAACTCATCCACTCACCAGTCAACAGCTAAACTCATCTACTCACTAGTCAACAGCTAAACTCATCTACTCACTAGTCAACAGCTAAACTCATCTACTCACTAGTCACCAGCTAAACTCATCTACTCACTAGTCAACAACTAAACTCATTTACTCACTAGTCAACAACTAAACTCATCTACTCACTAGTCACCAGCTAAACTCATCTACTCACTAGTCACCAGCTAAACTCATCTACTCACTAGTCAACAACTAAACTCATTTACTCACTAGTCAACAACTAAACTCATCTACTCACTAGTCAACAGCTAAACTCATCTACTCACTAGTCAACAACTAAACTCATCTACTCACTAGTCACCAGCTAAACTCATCTACTCACTAGTCAACAACTAAACTCATTTACTCACTGGTCAACACCTAAACTCATCTACTCACTAGTCAACAACTAAACTCATCTACTCACTAGTCAACAACTAAACTCATCTACTCACTAGTCAACAACTAAACTCATCTACTCACTAGTCACCAGCTAAACTCATCTACTCACTAGTCAACAACTAAACTCATCTACTCACTAGTCACCAGCTAAACTCATCTACTCACTAGTCAACAACTAAACTCATCTACTCACTGGTCAACACCTAAACTCATCTACTCACTAGTCAACAACTAAACTCATCTACTCACTAGTCAACAACTAAACTCATCTACTCACTAGTCAACAGCTAAACTCATCTACTCACTAGTCAACAACTAAACTCATCTACTCACTAGTCAACACCTAAACTCATCTACTCACTAGTCAACAACTAAACTCATCTACTCACTAGTCAACAACTAAACTCATCTACTCACTAGTCAACAACTAAACTCATCTACTCACTAGTCACCAGCTAAACTCATCTACTCACTAGTCAACAGCTAAACTCATCTACTCACTAGTCACCAGCTAAACTCATCTACTCACTAGTCACCAGCTAAACTCATCTACTCACTAGTCAACAACTAAACTCATCTACTCACTAGTCAACACCTAAACTCATCTACTCACTAGTCAACAACTAAACTCATCTACTCACTAGTCAACAACTAAACTCATCTACTCACTAGTCAACAACTAAACTCATCTACTCACTAGTCACCAGCTAAACTCATCTACTCACTAGTCAACAACTAAACTCATCTACTCACTAGTCAACAGCTAAACTCATCTACTCACTAGTCAACAACTAAACTCATCTACTCACTAGTCAACAGCTAAACTCATCTACTCACTAGTCAACAGCTAAACTCATCTACTCACTAGTCAACAGCTAAACTCATCTACTCACTAGTCAACAGCTAAACTCATCTACTCACTAGTCAACAACTAAACTCATCTACTCACTAGTCAACACCTAAACTCATCTACTCACTAGTCAACAACTAAACTCATCTACTCACTAGTCAACAACTAAACTCATCTACTCACTAGTCAACAACTAAACTCATCTACTCACTAGTCACCAGCTAAACTCATCTACTCACTAGTCAACAACTAAACTCATCTACTCACTAGTCAACAGCTAAACTCATCTACTCACTAGTCAACAACTAAACTCATCCACTCACTAGTCAACAGCTAAACTCATCTACTCACTAGTCAACAGCTAAACTCATCTACTCACTAGTCAACAGCTAAACTCATCTACTCACTAGTCAACAGCTAAACTCATCTACTCACTAGTCAACAGCTAAACTCATCTACTCACTAGTCAACAGCTAAACTCATCTACTCACTAGTCAACAACTAAACTCATCTACTCACTAGTCAACACCTAAACTCATCCACTCACCAGTCAACAACTAAACTCATCTACTCACTAGTCAACAGCTAAACTCATCTACTCACTAGTCAACAACTAAACTCATCCACTCACTAGTCAACAACTAAACTCATCTACTCACTAGTCAACAAGTGTGTGTGTGTGTGTGTTACCTGCATGTGACGTCTCCTTTAGGCTGGTAGATATTGATAGGAATACACTTGCCATCACGGCAGTAGTGACATTTGTCCACCTCACAGTTGTTGCCAATGAAGCGTGGAGGACAGCGACACTGTCTCGACCCATCGCTGGACTGCAAACACGTCCCACCATGATCACAGAAGCCATCACACGTGCCTGAGAAGAGGAACAGAAGGGCATTAGGTGCATTCCAATTTGCATTCTTATGCACTATTGTACGCCAGTTTGTACTATAAATAGTGTAAGTAGGGCGACACTGTGGCTCAGTGGTTCATCTCACCGCAAGAAAGTCACTGGTTTGAGTCCTGGCTAGGTCAGTTGGCGTTTCTGTGTGGAGTTTGCATGTTCTCCCTGCGTTTCCTCCGGGTTTCCTCCGGGTTCTCCGGTTTTTCTACATCCATTTACTATGCTGTTGAGTGTGTAAATGCATAAGTGCATACTGTAGTGTGCGCCATTTGGGACACTAACTGCTTTGGGTCATGGCCCAAAGGACAAGATCTCGGATACAAGCGGCCGAAATGAGTTTCCTTCACAGGGTGGCAGAGCGCACCCTTATAGATATGGAGAGGAGCTCGGAGTAGAGCCGCTGCTCCTCCACATCGAGAGTAGTCAGCTGAGGTGGCTCGGGCATCTGTTTCGGATACCTCCTGGATGCCTACCTAGGGAGGTATTCCAGGCATTCTCACCGGGAGGAGACCTCAGGGAAGACCCAGGACATGCTGGAGGGACTATGTCTCTCGGCTGGCTAGGGAACCCCTTGGGATCACCCCAAAGGAGCTGGTGGAAGTGTCTGGGGTAGGGGGAAGTCTAGGGTTCTCTCCTGAGACTGCTGCCCCCACAACCTGGCCCCAGAAACTGATAGATAGATAGATAGATAGATAGATAGATAGATAGATAGATAGATAGATAGATAGATAGATAGATAGATAGATAGATAGAGATAGATAGATAGATAGATAGATAGATAGATAGATAGATAGATAGATAGATAGATAGATAGATAGATAGATAGATAGATAGATAGATAGATAGATAGATGGATGGATGATAGATAGGAGCCTTCAAGGCTGAAATTAAATACCCTGTGTTTTCCACCAAGGCAACCCGAGTAAGTGTGTCCCAAACTGTAGTATGTTGGAAAGAGTGTGCTAAAACTTCCCGGATGGTCGACTATTTCCATTAGAAATCGAAGTGTCGAACTACCCATGTTAAAAGTGAATTTGATTACAACTACAAGCTCGGGGGGAAAAGTGCAAACAAACTACAAACATGGCAGATGCGCGAGTCCAACCGTCAAGTGGGAATGGCTATTGTTTGAATGACCATTAATTAATATCTAGCCAGTTTTTCCATTTTCTATTTTATCTGCAACAACAATGTGAACTCCAATAAGACGTGTGTGGATATTAAATTCTAAATGCAGAATTATCTAAAGACCTGAGGAGATTTCTCCGCATGAAAGACTTGTGAATGGTACAACAATAATCTCCAATATGGCAGGTGATTAAATATGAACAGAAATGTGGTTGATGTGTTGAGATGATTGACAGGGCTCGTAACTAAGCAACATAACAGTCTGAAAGTAGTCAAGTAGTTTGTCCCAAATCTTGCATACTCTTTTGTTACACACTCAAAAGTATGTACTTTGTCACAAAGAAGTACATACCTTTAGAATGTAGTGTAAGTATGTGAATTGGCATGCAGCAAGACATTCTGATACAGAACGCACATTCTTAAAGTCATTATTAAATGAGAAAACAGTGGGCGTGGCTTGTTTTTCTCTACTGCGAGCTGGTTGGATGTGGTAAAGTAGGTGTTCCATTTAGAAATTTGGGTAAAAGGGTTTGGGGAGTGTTATTACAGCCTAACAGACTCCGCCTGCTCACCATTTCTGTTTGTTGTCATGTCGAGGTCAGAACTGACAGCTGGAGGGGCGTGGTTAAGTATGTTAGTCACGCCCACTACCTCAAAAAGAACTAATCTAAGAATTTAACTGGAAACAAACAGGAAGTGGATTTTCAGATTTCAATTAAAAATTTCAAGAGCAAACTGTTTTTTAATGTCTTAATGACATGCGCAGATGAATTGTTCAGCACAAAACTAGCAATGTGAGCTAACAAAATCACTATGCTTAGTTTTGATTTCATCTTTACTGTAAATGAGAATATCTGACTTCAGCATTGCTTTTCAGATAAACAAATATGTTCACTTAGCATGTTTCTCAACTATCTCAAAACATATTATGCTATTTTAATGCTTTAGAACGAACAAAAAATGTACATATCGCATACTAAAACCAATGTGTGGCTATAAACACACACTCCTGTCCAGCAGGTGGAGCTGCAGCACTTACGGTATTGGCACTGGTCTCCCAGAAAGTCGGCAGGGCAGCTGCATGTGGGTTGATTTCCACGACTAACTGTGCAGTTTCCTCCACTTTTACAGTAGTTTTCACATGTGCGCTGGTTGCAGTTGGGTCCTGTGAAGCCTGCCAGACAGCGGCACGTCGGAGCTCCTAAAAACAGATCAGACAAGTTACTTGTAGTGCTGGGCAAAGATTCATTCATTTTCCTTCAGCTTAGTCTCT